CCCGCCCTCCGCGCCCGCCGCGGCCAGCGGCGCGGGTGTCCTGGCACGTCCTTACCCTTTGGGCCCTTCCCTCCGCTCCCAGACAGCTCTGGAATTACTGCAAAAAGGCAGCCTGAGATCGCTGGCTGGAAGCGAAGGTGATAAATGCAGGCTACACCGAGGGCCTGCATTTTTAACGGGGAGAATAATTAACTCCTGGGAGGAGAGGCGGCGCGGAGGGGGGACGCCGGGGAGCCCCGCGCTCCTGGCTGCCCCCGCCTGCTCTGGCACGCAACCGAATAAACCCTTTAGGAAAGAAAGGCAGGGTCCTGCCCGCAGCCTGCCTGTCCCCGGGGCTGAGCAGCCCCGGCTTAGCCTCTCTAGGGGCTGGCAGACGTATGGGCCCGCTCCTATAGCGGCCTGAGCCCACGCTGGCGACCGGCAGCGCAAACCTGTCCTGCCGCCCTCCGCCTCCCAGTTTTCAGCCCAGACCCAGCCCGTCCTCCCTTTTGTTATTGGGATTTAAAAAGAGCAGCCGTGGCTTGAAAGCTCCCGGGGCCGGAGGGAAGGCTGGGTGCGGCAGGGTTTGGGGAGCCATCCCCCCATCTCCCAGTATGTCCCAGCATCGCCAGGGGTCCCGCTGGGTGTTTTGGACGTTGCGATGGGCGCGTTCAAAGCTGGGCTGTACGAAGCTGTTCGGTTTGCCTTGCTTTGAAGGGTTGCAGCCGAAACGCCCCTGCGATGGGGCGCTGGCGGGGCAGCGTGGGTGCGTTGGGAGCGGGGCCCTGCGGAGCAGATCCGTGCTTTCCACCTCTGAATACACCGACGCCTTTCCCTGGACTGGGATCAGCTCCGCAGCCCCTCCGCGGCCACTCCTCCGGAGCAGCAAACCTTTGGGACAGCCTTGGAGGTCGAAAACAAGCGTAGGCTGAAGAGCATCACCCCTTTGAGTAGCTCAGGGCCTGCCGGCGGCGGGGGCCCCGGCCTCGGAGCTGCGTGCCTGGAGGGGCCGGTCGCCCCTGCGCTGCTGCCGGCTGAAGCCCGGGAGCGCTGGGTCGCAGGCGCTCCACGACGTCGGGGTCCCGGGGGACACAGCTTTGACCAGACCGTGCTCCCCCCCGGGAACGGCCGGCCTGAACTTGACCCCCCCCGGCAAGGTGGGGTCCCACGGGAGAGACGAACTGCAGGAGGGGCTCGGCCGGCCTGACCTTGCCCCCCCCCGGCAAGGTGGGGTCCCACGGGAGAGACGAGCTGCAGAGGAGGGCCACCGTGGGGGCCCCCCGCTGCAGGGCTACGCTCCAAGCTCCCCCTGTGCCACGGTTGGGGCTCAGAGCTTTCCGGGGGCTCCGCTGGCACCGAGGGGGTCCGCATGGCTGCCCGCGCCGTGGTCGGGCATCTCCGGCAGAGCCGGGCCAGGACGCGGCGGGGGGACGTGGGACACCGCAGCTTATTCTGCCCTGACACCGAAGTCCCACTGGTTTGGGGTCTGGCGCCATTTGCCTCCTTAAATGTGGAGGCTTCGGCCTGCGAAGGTGGGGGGACGCAAATATCTGCTCGCAGCAGGTAGGCGCCCCGGTACCTGTGTCCCTGCCCGGCTGCGGGGCACCCGGGGGGGCAGGGGGGTGGGTGCCCCGCTCCGGTCCTGCAAGGTCTCTTGCCAGGACCAGTTTGCAACCACGCCGGCCCCAGCCCTGTCCCACGGCCACCCCCTCGCCCAGCCGCCGTGCCTCTCCGGTGACAACACTGTGCGGGGACCCGGTGCCACCTCGCTTTAATTAAAGCGCAAGGGGATGCGAGCTGCTGGAAAACGAGGGTGCAAGCTTGCCGCTGCGGCGGCGCGGGGCGATGGGCAGCGGGGCCTGGGGAGGCCGCCCGCCGCCCGGGGTCTGAACGGGACCCCGTCCCCGCTCCCCGGTGAGCACCCGGCTGGAGCCGTGCCGCCGTCCTTGCTCCCTGGGGAGAGACAGACAGACAGACAGATGAAGAGGAGACACGGAGCGGGGCGAGAGCAAGAGCAGAGCCCGTGGGGACCTGTGCCATTGCCCGGCACCTTGTCACCAGGAACGGAGGGGACCGCAGAGCATCAGTCGGGCTTGCAGCGAGGCAGTGAGAGGACACGTGTGGGTGCCACCCCTGCGCCGGTCCCTGGGGACGCTCTCATTCCAGTGGGGCCACCCATCCCATCCCCTCCCCACCCATCCCTACGCCGTACCGGGGTCCGGCCTCCCCGCCGCCGCGGCATCCCTCTGGTCCTGCTGCGGGGGGTCGGGGGCGGGCAGGGAGGCATCCACCGCCCGCCGCCGCCGCTGCAGGATGGACTCCAGCTGCCTGTCCCTGCCCTTCACGCTGCTTCGTTGCCCGCTGGACCTCCTGCTCGCCCTCCTCATGGCACCCTAGGAAGCACCGCACGCAGCCGAGATGCCGAGGGGCCACATCCAGGCGATGGGAACCCCCAGGGCAGCCCCACACGGGACGGCTGCAGCTGGGGACGATGGTACCCGAGTCCCCACGCGATGGCCTTGGGACGGGGCTGCTCACCAGGATGCCCTGCAGCTCCAGCGCCGCACTCCTCCGCTTGCTGGCCACCACCGCCTCTCCCTGCGGGAGGGAAGGGAGGAGATGCGGCCGCGTCCTGCCGGCCCCGCAGCTCCCCGGGGCTGCCGATGCTCCCCAAACCCAGCCCGGGTCCCGGGGCTCCCCGGGGACGTTCCCCCACGGGACGGGGGTGGCTGGCAGCGGCCGAGCCGGGGTCCCTGCCTACCTGGCCCAGGGGCACCTGCGCCTTCGTGGGCCTCAGGACCACCCCGTTCTTTATCCGCTCCATCATCTCCTGCACAGCTCGAGCTTTAGCATCGTCAGCTTCGGGCTTGCCTGCGCCAGGAACGCTGTGCTGAGACCCCACAGATTCGTGACGGGGCTCAGTCCTGCCACCTCCCTGCAGCCCCACCATGCCCGGGGTCCCTCCCGTGATGCCAACCGGGGCCAGGTAGGACCCTGCCAGGGCTCATCTCCCACCCGTGCTGGGCAGGACAGGGGTGCTGGGGCCCCAGCACCCTTCTTTGGGAGTGGGGGGCCAGCAGAGTGCCCGTCACCCCACAATGGGAGTGGAGCAACACTTTTGGATGCATGAGAGATGCCAGTGCAGCACCGGCAAACCTCTGTCCCGGAGGAACCCCATCCTCCCCCTGCCCAGGGACTCTCCCATCCCCGTGGCGCTGCCAGGGGACCCCCCCGTGGTGCCAGGACCCCCCCGGGGTGCGGCGTGGGGCGACTTACTGCGCTGGGCGTCTGCCAGCCCCTTCCTCCGCCGGATGGCCGAGAGCGGGCTGGAAGGGAGAGGGGAGGTGAGGGCACGGCCGAGCTGCGCCCCTCGCCCACAAGAAGCTCTGGCCGCCGCAGGCACGGCTTGGGCACAGCCTGGCACGGCGGGCGAGCGCAGTGGGGCTCGGGGGGTTTGCCCCCGCCTGGCTTATGTGAAATGACAGGGACAAGCTGGGAGCCCCTGGGCTGCCGGAGCTGCTTTCTGCAGGTGGCCGGGGTGGCCGGGATGGCTGGCAGCGTCACTTACTCCACGGGGACAGCGGGTGCGGGCGGTGGCAGTGGCGGTGGTGGCGGCGCGGGTGCAACCGGCTCAGGGGTCTGGCTCTGCGGTGGCGGGTCCTGGGCCAGCTTCTCCTGCAGTGACCCCACTGTAACAGGGTGCAGAGCCTGAGCCCACCCCGGCCACGGGCAGGCAGCGCCACGGGCATCCCTCCGGCACCGCTGCGAGCTCCGGCCCGCGTCGGGCAGGGGCGAAGGCACCCACCTTCCTCCTCCAGCCCCGCCAGCCGCCCCTCAGCCTCCTGCAGCCGCTTCTTCAGCTGCAGCTTCTCCTCCTCTGCCGCGGCCAGGGCAGCTCGGGCCAAATCCAGCTCCTCTGGCTCCGGCCGCCTCCCCAGCTGCTCCTCCAGCTCCTTCACCTGCGGGGAGGTGGGGAGCCGGCTGCAGCCCAGGAGCTGGGACCCCCGGTGCAGCCCTGCCAGGGACGCGAATGCTCCCCAGCCCCGCAAATTAGCCGCTTGCAAAGACCTCGAAGTTCATTTTTGGGCAATTCTCGGCTGGGTGATGGCCGCTCAGTGGGCTGGGGGTGCTAGGCCAGTGTGGGGGCTCCCATCGTGGGACCCTCGCCCTGGCACCCGAAACACACTCGTGGGAATCCACGGAAGACCAACCACTCCAGGCTTGGCACACGACGTAGGGTGGGCATGGAGGGGTCTGATCCTGATCCCAGCTGGTTCCCACACCCAGGGGAAGCCACCACCATCACCGTGCCCGAGCCCTGCTCCCCAGCCCGTGTCACCCACCCTCAGGGACGGCTCCTCACCCGCTGCTGCTGCTCCTGCCTGGCCTCCTCCAGCGCCCGCGTCAGGCGTCCCACCTCCTGCAGGGCCGCCAGCAGCTGGGCGCTGGGCCCCGCGCTCTGCAGCAGGATCGTGCTCTGCCTGTTCGCCTCCTTCTTTTGCACCAGCATCTGCCCACGGGGACGGGGGTCAGGGAGGGACCGAGCCCCCCAGGCTCACCCCAGCGAGAGAAAAACCCTTTCTGGGGAGACTGGGAGCAAAACCCATCCGACCTCATCCCAGGGGACAGTGACGGGTGCCCAGGAGCATCCCCATCCTCTCGGGATCCAGGGTGGGATGAGTATTGGGGTGTTTGCACTGAGGGACAGTGAGAGCAAGCAGCCCCCCCACTCTCCCAGCCCCCGTGGGTGCCCGTCCCCCCCCAGCACCCATGGGCAGGGTGGCCCAGGGCCCGGCCGCACCTCGTGGGCGAAGGCTTCGGCGTGCAGGCGCAGGTCCTGCTCCAGCTCCAGCTGCTGCACCGCCTCGCAGTAATCCTGGGTGACGATCTGGGACACTGCCGAGGAGAGCGGGGGCTCGGGGGGCCGGCGCCAGCACGGGGGGTCCCATGCACACAGGTCCCGGCAATCCGGCTGCTGCTCCCCGTGCCTTTGGCTTCACCAGTTCACCTGACTGGGTGGCACTGGGGAGCTGCCAGCTGCTCCTTCGCCGGCTCGCCGGGGTGCAGTGAGACGGGGAGGGGACACAGCCGTCGGGACGCAGCACCCAACTCACCTCTCTTGAAGGACTTCAGCGCCCGCTGGAGACAAACCCCGCTCAGCCGGGGGGGGCCCGCCGTGCCCAGCCCACCCCCAGGACGCCAGGGAGATGGCGAGGGGCTGCAGAGGGGAGCCACCCTCCCCAAAAACCTGCCCTGAGCTCGGCAAGGAGCTACAAGGTTGAGCAGGAGCCCGGGAAGGAGGGTGCTGAAGGAGGCCCCTGCCCCAGGGGGGTCCTGCTCAGCTGGGGCATCCCGGGGGGGTCCCAGGAGGTACCTGGTCCTGCAGGTCCTGGTTCTGCCTCTGCAGCTCCTGGACCTGGATGGTGAGGTCCTTCCGCTGCGCCAGCAGCCAGGAGATCTTCTCCTGCAGATCTGGGAGCGAAGCGGGGAGCGAGGGGTGGGAAAGGGGAGCGAGGGGTGGGAAAGGGGAGCGCAGCCCTCCTGGAGCCGGTCCCTGTGCCCAGGCTGGTGGTGCTACAGCAACCCGCTCCCCAGCTCCCCCCGTCCCGGCCGTGTCACCCGTCACCCTGTTGGATGCTGGTTCTGGGAGGTGACCCAGAGGGATGGACACAGGGCAACGGGGTGGAATAGCAACCCGCAGGACACCGGGGGCTGTCCTCGGCGCCCCTCTCCAGCCCCAAGGCTGTCCCCGAGCATCCCGAGGGTCAGCCCGTCGGCAAAGTCACGACATCACCTGAACGCGGGGGGTTTGGCTGGATGGGGCATCCCCCCGAGGGGGGCACCCCCCAAAAGGGTGCATCCCCCCCAGAAGCAGTGCGTCCCCTGGGGCGGGCATCCCCCGGCCCCGCCGGCACTGCCAGGCTGCAGACGCAGCCCAGGTTGCTGGCATGGGAAAACAGGATGGGAAAGGAGGAAGCGTGACAGGCAGCACTTTCATTTCACCTTTTTCGTTTGCTTTCGGTATGGCTTTCCTGTTATTTACCCAGAACAAAGCCCAGCCACAACCTAAACCCGCGGGGCCAGGCTGAGCCAGGCTTAGGGGACACCGGGACGGGGCTTTGCCGTTGGCTTCCCCGCTTCTGGCCGGGGCCGAGCCCGGAGCCTCCAGCCTCCAGCCCCGCTCACCCTCCAGCTGCTGCCCGTAGCGCTGGGCAGGGTCGGGGTCCTCCTCGGGGGGCTCCTCCCCGGGCAGGGCCAGGGCGGCCGTCGGGGCCAGGCTGAGCCGCTTCAGCTGCTTGTTCTCCTGCTTCACCTGGGGTGGGATGGAGGACCCCCCCCCAGCATGGAGGTTTCTGCCGCACCACCAAGCCGGTGGCCACGCCGGCACCCTTGCACCCGCAATGAGGGGCTGCGGGCATCGGGGTGCTGGGGGGTGAGCGGCGGCGGGGGCTCGCTGCCCAGCCCTACCTGGGCTGCGTAGGCTTCGGCTCGCTGCCGGCACGTCCTCTCGATCTCAAACTCCGTCTCCAGCGCCGAGAGCTCGGCCAGCAGCGCCTGCGACGCTGGCAGCGGCGGAGGCCAGATTCAGGCGCCCGCCCGGCCCTCGGTGCCCGGTGGGGGTCCCTGCCCTCCTCCCTGCCCGCAGCCACCCCTGCCAGCCACCCAGGGCCAAGGACGGCGCCGGTCTGCACCACCACCGGCATTTGCCCACTTGGCTGTCCCACTGGCCCCATGGCCACCGGCTCCAGCGAGGGGCTGAACCCCGAGGCCCCCTATGGGACCGTGCCAGGACGTGGCACCGGGGCGGGACGGGGCTCACCTTGCTCCAGCTCGGCCAGCCGCTCCTCCGCTTCGCCCGCCTCCTGGCCGAGGGACGGGTGCTGCGGGGGGAGAGACACGCATGTGGCATTGTAGTGGCACGGCACGGCATTGGCACGGCACGGCATTGGCATGGCATTGGCACCGTCTCGGTGAGCTCCAAGCCGCCCAGATGCTGCCAGCCACGCTGGGGACGCTGTGACCGCGACACCGCGGTGACCAGCACCCTGGCACGCAGCCGCAGCTGGAGGGGAGGCCGCGGGGGACCAGCCCTTCGTCACCTCAGCGGTACACGGGCAGGAGGAAGAAATACAGCAGATAATGAGCCTGTGAGCGATACCTGCGCCATAGCTGCCTCTTCATCCTCCTCCTCCTCCTCTTCCTCCTCCTCGCTGCTTTCTGACTCCAGGATAGCTGCAGGGCAACCAAAAGCAGGACAGAAGGTGACCAGGGCTGGTGGAAAGCCCGGAGGTGTTTCAGCCCCTTTGCCTTCCTCAGCCCCGCGCTGCTCTGCGGGAGAGGCGCTGAGCTCCCCCACCCCGGGCTGGCGATGCCGCTGCGGCCGCTGAGGAAAAGGGGGAAGCGGCCTATGGAAAATGGGAAAGTCCGTACGGCAGGACGGCCTGGAGCAGGAGGAACAGCCCGCATATATCCGACCCGATAGCAACCAGCTCTTTAACAGCGGCAGCAAAGGAGCGGAGGGCATCGGAGGGAAGGGGCTGCTCGGAGGAGGCAGGAGCACAGCTGGGAAAAATCCCAGCGAGCGATTCTGGGCGAGGGAAGAGCCGTGCCAGAGCATCCCGCTGCCCCCCCCTCCCCCCGCCCCCGCGGCGCCCCGCCCCCCGGCCGCCCGGTGCCGCCGCAGAGCCGTGCCCTTGCTGGGCCGGGCTGGTGCCGGCGGGCGTGGGGGGACACCGGGGTGACACGGGGGGACGGAGAGTCCCCGGCACCACCGGGCTTCCCCCCCACAGCACCGGGGTGACTGCTTGGGGGGGACCCCATGTGCAAGACCCCCCCGAGTGCATGCGGGCACGTGCCAGGGAGCGTGTCCCCGGGGACAGGCACTGGGAGGGGGGTCCCCCGCGGCTGGGACCAGGGAGCTGCTTTGTCTCCAGGTGCTCCGGGGTCCTCCCGTCCCCCCAGGGCGGGGGTTTGGGGGCACGGCTCCCCCCAGGGCAGCTCCCAGCGGGGCTGGGGTGCGTCACGGCCCCAAGCGGCAGCAGGGCAGGAATCCAGCACCTGCCTCCCACCCTTCCCATCACAGACCTAATCTGGTGGGGAATGGGCTCTGGCATCTAAAGCCTCGCCCCGGTTTGTGAGCCAGCCTCTGCTACTGCCACCTTCCAGCCCCTGCAAGGGCTGGGGGTCCCCACGGGTCGGGGAGGGGGGTGCTGCTGCTGAGCAAAGGGACCCTTTCTGGGACCCCCGTGCCGGGACCCCCATGCCAGCGGTGGGGCTCGGGCTGTGCAGAGTCCTGCTCCCCCGTGGCCTCGGCTCTTGCAAGGTGAAGCCGTACGAGCATGCAAACAGCAGCAAAAGCCCTAAACCGCAGCCAGGACGGGCACCCCACGCAGCCCGGAGCAGCAGGGGAACGGATGGACGGACAGACAGGCAGGCAGAAGTGCCTGGGAGCTGGTGGTCCATCTAAACACCACCCACCAGTCACTGGCCCCTCTGTGAGACGGCTGAGCAGAGAAAAATCCCTCCCCAGGACCGGTTCTGGGCTGGTTTTGCGCCCTGCAAACCACCTGGCTCAGCCGGCGGCGCCCACAGGCCGCGGTGATGGTCTCGGGACAGCCACAGCCACCCCCACCACCCCGCCGGGAGGGGATGCTCGGCCGCCGGCGAGCCCACCGAGCCCACCGCGTCCCCGAGCGCAGCGGGGGGACCTTACCTGCCAGCTGCCCGGCGCCTTCCTCAGCCCAGGCCATGGCGGTGGGGCTGGCGGCACCCCGCACCCCGAGCTGGGCAGGGTGCCTGTCCCCCGCCCCGGCGCTCGCTGCAGGGAAGTGAAACTGCGCCGGCCCCACCACCACCGGCTGCGACGGAGGCTGAGCACCCCGATCCAGGCAGGGCTGGTCCTGCCGCAGCTGCCATCGGGGGCTCGAGGGGGAACCGAAACCCGCGCTGAGTCACTTAGACCTGGGGAGATGCTCAGGTCCTTCCCCGTGCAGCTCCGCAGCAGACACCCCCCTCTCACTGCCTTCACACCTCTCGGGTCATCTTAAAATAAAAAAAGTGCTGTGGTTTGAGGAGATGCCAGCCCCGTTAGCAGGAGCTCGGGCAGCTTCCTGCACCCCTGCCTGCATCGGGCAGCCTGCCTGCACTGGGCAGGGTGCTGCTCCCGCGGGGTGCAGGCAGGAGGGGGGGAATGGCCTGGGGTGGGAAGGAAACAGCGCAAGAGCACGGAGGGGTTTCGGTGACCACGCTGGCTTTATTGAGCAAGGGGAAGAGGTTTCTCACCGCTTCGGGACGCCGGTGCCAAGGACCCCCAGCCCTCGGCACCCTCCCGGCAGCCAACCCCGGCCAGCCCCACCGAGGGACCTCTGGATGGGCCACAGAGGTTTGGGGGAGGCGAGGGGCTCCCCAAAGCCCAGAGGTGGGGGGGGTCAGAGGGCCGTGCTGGCCGGCCCCTGGCCCGGCGCCGCGGCCTCGCGCGGGTAGTACTCGGCCAGGATGCTCTCGGGGATGCGCTTCAGCAGCTGCTTGGGGAAGATGCGCAGCAGCTGCCAACCGATGTCCAGGGACTCGAAGATGCTCCGGTTCTCGTAGGGACCTGGGAAGAGACGCAGGCAAAGGGAGGTGCCGGGAGCAGGGAGATGCTGGGGGTCCGGTTCGGTCCCCAAGCCCCCTCCCGGCTCTGGGGCTGGGGTCCGGCCGCCCGCCTCACCCTGGGTGATGAACTGCTTCTCAAACTTCTGCAGGAACTCCAGGTAGAGCAGGTCGTCGGACGAGAGGGCCTCTTCTCCCACCACCGCCTTCATCGCCTGCACGTCCTTCCCGATGGCGTAGCAGGCGTACTGCGGGCCAGCAGGGCGTCAGGACAGACGGACGCTCCACGCAACCCGCCGGGCAGGCAGAGCGGGGGCAGCGGCGGCTGAGGGACCGACAGCAGCCTTCGCTTGGCCCTTCGCTGCCCCGTTGTGTCACCCTGCGCCTTGGGGACGCCCCGAGCAGGGTCTGCGTGCCCGGGCTCGGCCTGCGTGCCCAGGCACCTCTCAAAGCCCTCTGCTCTCAGCAGCAGCCACGGTTATATACAATTATGTTATATATAATAATATATGCTGCAGGGAAAAAAGCCTGCTTGCTGTCAGCCCGGGCTTCTTGCGGCAGGACAAGCTACAGCTCTGCCCCGGCTCTGGGGCTCTGCACCTCTTGGACTTCCCAGGGCAAAGCATCCCAGCCCTTACCCCAACCCCCCCTCCCGTCCAGGGGGTGCCGAAAATAAGTGCTCGAGTCCGTCAGGGCCAAGGGCAGCAAGATCTCCGGCCCAAGCAGGGGGAGGAGGGCTTCGAAGTGAGAAAGGAGCCCGCTCCCCGCTCCGTGTCATCGTCCCTTACCAGCTGGTTGGAGACATCCCCGTGGTCCTTCCTGGTCATGCCCTCCCCGATGGCCGACTTCATCAGGCGGGAGAGGGAGGGCAGGACGTTGATGGGGGGGTAGATCTGCAGGGCGAGAGAGACCCCCACTGCCTTCACCTGCTGCCAGCCCTGCCGGCCACCCCCCGCGCAGGCAAGGGGACGCTGCCCTCAGTTTGGGCTCCCCCCTGCCCCCAGCACCCCTCAGTTGGCTTCCAGCCCCATGCAATTCCGGTGGGGATCCATCCCCGTTCCGCTCTGGCACGGGGCCGGGAAGGGACACGGGGACGAACCTGCCTGTTGTGGAGCTGCCGGTCGACGTAGATCTGCCCCTCGGTGATGAAGCCCGTCAGGTCGGGGATGGGGTGGGTGATGTCTGGGGAGAGGCAGGGCGCTGTGAGCCCCGAAAGCGTGTCCGGCTGCACCAGCACCCCAAGCCCGGGTCCTCCCCAACCACGTCCTTTGGCTGACACCCAGCACTCCGCTCTGGCTCGGGGGGCCAGAGGGACGACACGGGGGGAAAAACAACCCTCAAGCATCCCAGCAAGCTTCGCTACCCCAACGGATCCCATGAGCTCCCCCAAAACTTGCTAAAACAAAACCACTTGGCATTTCCCAGCCCTGTGGTTTCCAGGTGCGGGCACAGCGGTGGCACCGCACACCCCACAGGGACCCCCGTGCCCCCCAGGGCCGCTGACCGTCGTTGGGCATGGTCAGGATGGGGATCTGCGTGATGGAGCCGTTCCTGCCCTCCACGCGCCCGGCCCGCTCGTAGATGGTGGCCAGGTCCGTGTACATGTAGCCGGGGAAGCCGCGGCGACCGGGCACCTCCTCCCTGGCTGCCGACACCTGCGGGACGGGGGGGCTTGCAGTGAGCGCTGGAGGGGGCTCAAGCACCCCCAGCACCTCCAGCACCCTCACCCTGAGCATCGCAGGCACCCTGAGCACCCCAGGTACCCCAAGTATCCTGGGCACCCCAAGCACCCCGGGCATCCTGGGCACCCTGGGCATCGCAGGCACCCCGAGCACCCCAGGCATCCCAAGTAGCCCAAGTATCCTGGGCACGCCCAGCAACCGGGGCACCCCAGGCACCCCGAATATCCTGGGCACCCCAAGCACTCCCAGCACCCCAGGTATCCTGGGCACCCTGGGCACTCCGGCACCCCAACAGGGCAGTCCTCATCCCCTGCCACACAGGGGAGGACACAGGGGACCGATCCCGGGGGACAGGCGCTGACCTCCCGCAGGGCCTCGGCATAGGAGCTCATGTCGGTCAGGATCACCAGCACGTGCTTCTCACACTGGTAGGCGAGGAACTCGGCGGTGGTCAGGGCCAGGCGGGGGGTTATGATCCGCTCGATCCTGCGAGGGGGACAGGGTGGGCACCCCCAGGTCCCAGTTCCCCCCCGCAGAGCATCCCTGGAGCCCGGCAGGCTCTCGGGGTCCCCGAGCTGGGACCGAGCAATGGCCGGGGAGGAGGAGGGAGGCACCCGCTGCCCGCCCAGGGCACCGGCTCCCACCCACTGCGGGAAGGGATGGGGACCCAAAAGCTGGCCGAGTTCGGTGCCACCTCCCCTGCCTGTTTGCTGCCTGCTGGCCAGAGCCCAGGATGGCTGCCTCAGCCCCACCAAGGGGGTTCCCCAGCCCTGCCCAGGGGTCCCCCAGCCCCACCAAGGGGGTCCCCCAGCCCGGCAGCATGCGGGGCAGGGCACACAGGGGTGCAGCTCAGCGCGTGCCGGCCGAGCCCAGCCTGCACGCACCCCCCTGCACCCCCAGGGTGCCCCTCACCGGGCCATGCTGGAGGCTGCCCCCCATCCCAGCACCAGGGCAGGTTTGGGGGGTGCCAGGAGGGCACACAGAGGAACCCGAGGGACTCAGCACCGTGCAGGATGGGAGAGGGGCCCCCCATGCTTCTGCAGCCCCCCCTCTGCTGCTCAGGGCAGGGCTCGCCATGCCCAGGAGCGGGGCTGGCCCCCGGGAAGCAGAGGGACCCGCAGCCTTTGGGGTTCCTGTGCGCGGCAGGACCCTAAAGACCCCCAGCTGTGCCCAGCAGCAGCCTCTGCACCTCCATCCACCCGAGACGGATCAGGTCCTCAGCGGGGAGGGAGAAGGAGGGAAGAAGGAAGAAGGAGGAGGAGAGCCGCGTGCCGGAGCCACGGGGCTGACTCACGTGGGGTCGTTGGCCAGGTTGAGGAAGAGGCACACGTTCTCCATGGAGCCGTTCTCCTCAAAGTCCGACTTGAAGAAGCGAGCTGTCTCCATGTTCACCTGCCCACGCAGGAGGAGAGGCCGGTCAGCGGGAGCGGGGCAGCTTCATGCATGGGGAAACTGAGGCAGGTGAGGGGCGAGGAGGGGGCAGCAAGGCTGCCTGCACATCCCGTGCTATCTGGGCTCGCTGTCAGCAGGCGTTGCCGAGGTCGGCTGGGCTGTCCCATCCCGGCACCGACTCACCCCCATGGCAGCGAAGACAATGGCGAAGTTGTCCTCGTGGTAGTCCACCACGTCCTTGGACTTCTTCACCAGGCCGGCCTGCCGGCAGATCTGCGCGGCGATCTGCAGCGGGACAGGGACAGGCGGGCAGCACAGGGCCAGCGCCCGCGGCCAAGTCCCCCCAGAGGGGCCACAACCCTCCCGGGGACCAGGATACGGCCCCCACGGCAGCGAGGGGCAGGTGATGCAGATGAGAGAAACAGGAACCAGCACAGGAGAGAGCAGCCCAGCACGGGCACCGGCAGCCCCAGCTGCCCACCCGGCCCGCGGGTGGGTACCCGGCCCCGTGGGGCGAGGGGGAGCGGGGTCTCCCCGGCCCCCGCCAGCCGTGCCCCCTCGCCATGGCACAGCGCCTGTCATGCCGGGCCCCGCCGTGACCATGGTCACCCTCCTCTGTCGCTCCCGATCTGTCAGGGCCGGTTTTCCGTCCCATCGCATCACCGTCTGTGCCGGGGCGGGGGCTGGGGCGGTGCTGCCCATCCACCGCGCCGGTGTGCCCGTGGATCAGGCTGCTATTTCCAGCACCAGGCACGACCGCACTCGCAGGGCCACGGTGGGGTCTGTGGCTCCCCACCCCACGGGCTCGCGCACCCCACATCAGCCCAGATCCCCTCTCCCCCCCAGCGCAGCTCTGGCGTAGCGGGGTTTGTTTTATCCCCTCGCTGTGCAGATGGGGAAACTGAGGCACGAGGCAACGTGAGCTTCCCTTCTCGCCCCGGGGGGGGGGGGGGGGGGGGGGGCGGGGAACACAACAGACACCCCAAAAGTTTGGTCTGGCCCGTCACGGTGAGCAGAGCACAGCAGGGAGAGGAGGAGCGACGCAGGAGATGGGCTCCAGCCCTCCCAAACTCCCCTGTGCTGCCTCCTCCATCCTCCTCCTCCTGCTGCCGGGGCTGTGCCAGGGGCTCGGCACCCCGCAGGGACCCGGCACCCCACAGGGACCCACCTCGTTGTGGGGAAGACCAGCAGCAGAGAAGATGGGGATCTTCTGGCCCCGGGCAATGCTGTTCATCACGTCGATGGGCGAGAGCCCGGTCTGGATCATCTCCTCGGGGTAGATGCGGCCGTGGGGGTTGATGGGCTGGCCTGGAGCGGGAAAGGGAATGAGGCACCCGCGGGGCACCCCGAAATGGAGGAGTTGCCCCCGTTGGTGCTAAAAATGAGGCCCAGGCTTCTGGAGCGAAGGAAGAAGCAGCAGTGCAGCCACCCCACACGAGCCCTGGCGTGGGACAGGCTCACCAGGCACCACCCCTGCACCCGTACCCCCACCCAGGGCACCCCAATGGGGACGGATGGACCCCCTCGGGGACCCAGGGTGGGGGCGGCACCGCGGGGCCGCTCTGGCCATCAGGGCACGGTGTCGGCCCCAGATGCCGGGCTGCCCCCAAGACCCTCCAGCATCGCAAAGGAGCTGGCAAAGCAATGCCGCAAAGGAGCTGGCAAAGCAATGCCGTGCCCGGAGCCGTCACCGTTAATGTCCAGGAAGTCCTCGGCCATCACCGGGGGGCCGCTGTCGATGGGCTTGGCAGAGCCGTTGAACACCCGACCTGCAAGGAGAGAGCTGCTGGAGGCCAGGGAGAGCGAGCCAGCCTGGTGCAGAGCCCTGCGAGCAGGCAGCTGCCTGTCCCGTGGCTCTGGGGCAGGGTTTCCATCCCGCTCCCGGTCCCCTGTGCGGGTGCAGGCAGCCCAAGGACAGGCAGCAGTGCTTCCACCCCAGCCATGGGGAAACCCGGGAAATGGAGAGCACCCATGGGTGGCACAGGGCATCCCAGCTGCCCTGGGTGTCCCACGGGGGATGGGTGAGGAGCAGAGGACTTTGCACCCAGGGCGTCGTGTCCCACAGCCCCCCATGCCGGGGGACGAGGCGTCCCCATGTCACTGCGCAGGGTGAGCAGGGAGCGTGGCACCACAGCCCGCAGGGTAGGGATGCCAGCACGCAGGGCCAGGTCCCCAGAGACCCCCCCGCGCCATCCAAGCCACCCACCATCACCTCCCCCTTGGGGTCCCCAGCTCCCGTGTATGTGGGGTGACACAAGACCCCCCCACGCCAGCCCTGAGGGGGGGTACGAGGCTCCTGGAGAGCCGTTGCATCGCTGTTCATGCTCAGCCTCATCGAGCGGCTCCGAGCCGCGGGATCGATAGCGGCGAAGCCGGTGCACTGGCCATGCCAGCCCCCCCGGCACCCCCGTGTGCCGCTGTCACCCCTATGGGACCGCGTTCCGGTCCCCGACGGGGCCAGGGAGGCATCGCCGTTGTCAGAGCAGATCAAGCTGATGGCGGGGCCGGGGCGCGGGAGCACGGAGCATGAAAGGTCAGTAACCTTGGCGTTCGGTGGGCACCCACGTCTCGCCGGCGCGCAGCGGCTTAATTCAGCGCCGCGGCACAAAGAGCGGCAGAGGGGAGGGAAGGGGCGATGCAGGCCAGCACCCGGGGGACCCTGGCCCGGTTTGGGGGGGGAGGAAGGGGAAACCACCCCCCGAGCCCGATGGACTCTGCACACTCCTGCCCGGCCCCTCTCCCCTCCCAGGGGACTCACGCCCGGACCCCGCATGGGGACAAGGGGACCCTGCCTGGGAAAGGAGCCAGGGGCTCCCTGCCGGCTGCTGGGGAGCCAGGACCTGTCCGGCCGTCACCGCGCGCTGCCGTACCGCGCTCGACACCTGCCCCCTCCCAGGCAGGCTGCCCTTTACCGCTGCCCTTTGCAGGCAGGGCTCTGGCCGGGTTTCGCGCTGCAGGCACAGACGGGAAGGAGATTGCAGGAGACACGCGGCCCCCGATCGGGGAGCGATACCGTGCGTCAGCCGAGGTCCCTCCGCCGGGACCCCAAGCGACCGCCGTCACCGGCTGCGACCCCTGCAAGCCCCCGGGGCCGCTTTGGGGGCTGTAAGACCCTCAGGAGCCTCTGACACGGCTGGGGGGGCCAAGGGCCTGGGGCTGGGCTTGAACGGTCCCCGGGGAGGCTGCTCGGGGCTGTGGGGGTCTGCCAGCACCCGGCTCTGCCCGGGGGGTGTCCCCAAGGGGACAGGGGTGGCCGGTCCCCCCCTGCAGCCCCACGCCTGGCCACATCTCAGGGCTCAGCATGGACGGGGAAGATGCTGGGCGGCCCCAGCCCCCCTAAGGTCGAGGTAAGAAGAGCGCTAACAGCACGACCACGGGCTGAAGTTCACCTGTCCTCACCTGGGAAACCTTTTCCCAGTCCAGCCCAAGCTTTTTCTCCTGGGATAACTGGGCAGAGTGGGCCCAGGGGGATGTTTTCGCCCTGTAGGAGGGTGACCATCACCAGCCCTCCACGCTGGATGTGACCCTCCCAGGACCAGAGGGCACCCAGGGATGTGCTCAGCCCCCGGGCAGCAGCAGAGCTAAACCCCAAGACCCCCACACCCCCAAACCGCCTGTCCCCCCGCGCCCGGGTTACCCCACCATCCACGCACCGAGATGTGCCGGGGCTCAGCGGCAGGCTGCACTTACCCAGCATGTCCTCAGAAACCGGGGTCCGGAGGATGTCCCCGGTAAACTCGCAGGAGGTCTTCTTGGCGTCGATCCCAGATGTTCCTTCAAACACCTGCGGAGACCCCAGGGCAAGAGGCGGGCGGGTGGCAATTAGTGGGGATTAGTGGGCGCAGAGGGCCGGGGGGCTCGGGGGCGGCCGGGCTCTCTGCGGGGAGGTGCCGTGATCCGCGTTCACCCGAAAAACCCGTCAGGGAGAGGTGATAAAAGAGGGGGAGAAGCCCCGGGGTTAAGAAAACTCCCTTCCGAGGGGCTTTGGCTCAGGGGGAGCAGGGGAGGGGGGCCACGCTCTCATGAATGCGTTGGGCAGGGCAGGGAAACCAAAGGCATTTTGATCGGTATAATATTTGACACCGTTTGTATTAATTAACCTCCAGATCGCTGCTTTAATTAGAGCCGTGCGGCCCCTGGGAGAAGGGCCAGCTTGGGAAGGCCGGGGGCACCGGGCCGGCGGGGATGTGGGCAGGCACGAGGGCAGGTGACGGCCGCAGCACCTGGGTGCGCGTAGGCCAGCCCCTGGCAAAGCTGCAGCTGCAAAAGGCTCCTTTTTTTCCCCTTTTTTTCCCTTTTTTTTCCCCTCCCGAGGCTGACTCCCTAATAGGATTAAAAGGGCGCTGCAGAGGTCTGGGCGGCATTAGAGGAGCGAGGTTTGGCGGCTCGCCAGCCAGATCCCAGCCAGGCCGAGCCCTGGGCTGGCTGATTGGGGGGGGGGGCTCCTGCCCGCTCCGGGCACCCCAGAAACCCGCTGCCCACCCTGCTCCCAGCCCCACAGGGGGCTGGGGGCCGTGGGGCGATGGCAGGAGGGTCCTAAGTTTTCCTTATGAGGCAGCCCAGGGAGGCCAAGGGGGAGAATGGGGGGCTGAGGGATGGGGGGTCCTGAGGAGGCTGCGGCATGACCCAGACGGGCTCAGCCTGGCAGGGAGACGGCGGGGGGACCTGGGTGGGCAGCTCGGGCAACGGGCAGAGCAGGACGGAGACCCAGCACGGGGTCGTGCCCACGTCTGGCCCCTCCATTCTGCTGAACTTTTGCAGACGACGTCATTTCGGATTTGGCACCCGGAGGCTCCTGCCCTGAGCTGCTGGCACCAGGGCTGGCACGGGTACCAGCTCCATCCCTGCCGGTGCCACACCGCCAGCCCAGGGACCACGGGCCAGCAAGGAGCCGCGCCGCCGGACGCTGCCCGTCCCAGGACACCGGTCCTGCAGCCTGCCGTGCTGGGAGAGCTGGGGCAAGAGCCCGGCAGGGCCCTGCCGGCCACCGCTGGAGGGGGACAGAGCCCCGGGACACAGCCCCAGGCCACACAGCGCCCACACATCCCCCGTCCCGCCACGTCCCCGCTGCGCTGGGCTCACCTGGACGATGGCTTTGGAGCCCATCACCTCCAGGACCTGCCCGCTGCGGCTGGTGCCATTGGGCAGCATGAAGTTCACGATCTCGGCGTACTGGGCAAACTGTAGGGACAGGGTCAGGGTGAGATGGGTGGGGGGCTCCTCTCTCCTGGCTGTGGCACTGCTCCGTGCCTCAGTTTCCCCAGTGTTGTGGGGCGCCCCCTTCCCCTGAGGGTGCTCTCAGACAGAGCCTGGTAACGAAGGAATGCAAACCCCTTCCCCTCCCAGAAGCAGACAGACCTATCCCCTGCATAAAGCAGAGAGCCTGCCAAAGCACATCCACAGCCCCGGATAAACCCCCCGGAGCTGGTGGGACCCCTCGGGGACCCCTCGGGGACCCCCCACGGCCAGACCCCGTGGGACAGAGCAGCACGGGCTGCCCGCACCGCCGGATCCCCCGTAATCCCCCCTGAGCTGTGACAGGTTAAGTCAGGGATCACGCAGCCACCACCTCGCATCGGCCAAGCTGAGCCGGCGCGGGCAGAGGGGCGAGCGGGACCCAGCACCCATGGGTGGCAAGGGCTGCAGCCCCCCCAGGGACACCGACCGACCTCCCCGGCCCCCCCACCCAGCCGAGACCCCCGGGGTGGATGGAGGGGGCTTTTCTGCAGCCCCTTGGCTGAGGGACACGTCCTGCTCTGGGGACAAGGTCCAAGGGGGCTCGCTCCATGAGCCCCCCTGCCCAGCCCTGCCCGCCCAGCACACTCTGTGTTCTCTTCCTCCCCCTCCTCCTCGCTCCCAGCCACTGGGGCTGGCACCGGCACTGCGAACTTTGGACTTTAATTCTCCTATAAAGACCTTTGCATAAAGGACAACAAAGCGAAGGAAACACCCGCCACGGTCTGGCTCTTTAATTGAGCTTATTAATTTCTGTCCTGCCAGGCTGGGCGTGAAAGGGGCCATAGAAACGAGCCACCAGCCAACAAAGCCCCTCGGAGGGTCCCGGCTGGCCGGGCCACGCGGGGATGCTGAGGCACCCAGCGCCCACCCACGTGAACCCAGCGCCTGCTCCGGGAGCAGGGACCGGCAGGGTGCCACCAAGGTGCTGGGAGATGGGCTGAGCTGGGGTCTGTGCTGTGGCCTCGCTCAGACCTGGCTCCTGGACAGAGGGGGACAAGGGACAGGAGCTGGAGCTCGGGCAGGGGCAGAGGGGACAGGGGACAGGAGCCAGATCTTGGGCAGGGGCACAGGGGACAAGGGACAGGAGCCAGAGCTCAGCAGGGGCACAGGGGACAAGGGACAGGAGCTGGAGCTCGGGCAGGGGCACAGGGGACAGGGGACAGCAGGTGCCTGGGTGCAGGGGGACACGGGGCGAGCGCAGGGTGCCCAGGCAGAGCGCACACAGGGCCACCCGTACGCCGACGCGTGTCCCCATGCCCGTGCACACGCAAGCAGGCACGCTTGCACGCCCACACGCGTGTGCAGGCTGGCACACGGGCTCTGCTGCCGGCCGTGTCCAGAGGAGGGAGCTCGGAGCCGGCTGACGGACCCCAGAGAGGAGGGGACAGCCCAGGGGACAGGGGACATGGGACAGGGGACACGCTCCCCCATTGCACCCTCCCTGCCCTGGGAGGGGATCTGGCAGCCAGGCCCAGGCAGGGACAGCACGGTGGTCCCCACACAGCCCAAGGTGACACCGTCGAGGGGTCCCCTTGTCACCCACCGGCAGACAGGGTCCTACCTTCACGTTGTCCAGCACCACCAGGGGCCCGTTGACACCGCACACCGTCTTGTAGGCTGGGGGGAAAGGACACACCGTCAGCCCCCGGCGCCGGGGCTGCTCCCACCCCGCTCCCAGCACCGCCACCCCCGGACCATGGGCACCGGGGGGCCGCGGCCTCGGCAGGCAGGATCCGTCCCACCCCAGCGCCATCCAGTCCTGCTATCCCATTCCATACCCCAGCTACGGGCCAAGCGACTGGCGGCTGCTGCACTGGAGACCCAGAACCTCCATCCTGCAGGAAACGCCGCCTTTACGAAATTAATTTCATTTCAGCACATATAAAACATTTCAATAGAAATAAACGTGCAGAAAGGAACGACGTTTAAAGCCAGGAGTGCAGCAGCCCACCCCAGCCAGCAAACTGAAGGACTCTCTGCAAGTCAATATTTTCCCTTTCCCAGGACAATTTTTCATTACACCAAGATTTTGCTTTAAAAAAAAGAACAATAACAAACCTTTTTGTGGAAAAAATATACGAACAAGTCGCAAGAGCCAGACCCTGCCCAGGCAGAGCCGGGCTCGGGGCCACGGGCAGCGCAGATGCGAGGTGGGGGGTGGTTTCCACCCCAAAACGGGCCGTCACTCTCCACCTTCTCCCGCCGCCGGACCCCCCTCGCCCGGGGAGACCCCGGTGCCTCCCCCGTCCCCACCCAGACCGCGACGGACACCGGTTCGCACCCCGCGCCCCTGTCCCACACCGAATGCTGCCTGCGGCATGATTAAGGCAGGATTAGGCTCGTGTCCCCCTGCTGCCGTGGCATGGCTCTGCTCCACGGTGGCTACTTGCCATCATGCCCGGTGACAGCGCAGCAGCCGGCCCGGGGGACGCTTCGCCTTCCCGAGGTGCCCCCACGCGCTGGGCAGGGATGCCGCAACCGGGGACGCTGCAACCGGCAGCTTTTGGAGCCGGGATGAGCAATGTCCCCCCCGTCCCCAGCTTCCCTGGCTCAAACCCCCCCAAGCAGCACCAGGAGAGCTCGCCAGCCTTGGGCAAGCCCATCTCAGTGGCATGGATGCCCAAGCGAGGTGGGACCTGCTGGCTGCTCCAGTAGCTCCCGCAGGTCCCAGCTCCCTTCCCAGCAGGGCATCCCCATCTCGCCAGGCTTTTCCCCATCCACCCCACCTCCACGGCAGCCTCTGCCCCATTCGCTCCAGCAGATCCTCCACCGTTACCCGCACACCCTGCCCGCAGCCAGACAGCTCCTCCTCCAAAAACCACGGCCACGGGCAGAGACAGCAGCCCCGGCGCCATGCGATGGGTGCAGCCCTGCCATCTCCCGCTGCCCTTCTGCCTTCGCTTGCCTTCAGCCGGCAGCACGGCGGTCACCCCTTGTCCCCAGGGGACACCCCAGGATGGACAACCCCAGCTGGGTGCTGCGGAGCAGGAGGACAAGCTTTCGGGGCCACCCTTGCCAAGACGAGGTCCGAGCACCCAGCCTGGTCGTGCCTGCAGGGTGGCACTGCCCGGCTGCCATAGGGTGCCGGCCTGGGACCCCGGGGTTCAGGATGAGACCTCAGGGCACTGGGCACTCACACAGCGCTGCGTTCGGGCAAGGAACAAGGGGCCGGGGAGGTGATTTCTCCAAAGTGACTACGAAGACCCCAGGGATAAGCGCGGCGCAGGGACGTCAAGCGCAGGGACGTCAAGCGCAGGGACGTCAAGCGGGGATGAAGCCGTGCATGAGCCCAGCAAGGGGACGCAGAGGTCCCCGAGGCCGGGGAGAGCCAGGGTTGGGAGCAGCTTCCCAGGCGAGTGCAGGTGCCGGGGAACCGATCCGGCTCAAAGCCGCGCCTTGATCATTTTACCGATGTGTCAAACGCCGTAACGCCTGCCATGGCAGGGCCTGGCTTTACTGACCCCGCCGGGCCCTTTCATCCCTCTGCCCTCTCTTCTCACACCGGGTTCTCTGATTTACTCATGATCCTAATCGGATTGGAGAGGCTGGGCCAGCTGGCGAGCTCGCCGGCCTCCCTCCCGCCAGCTGCGGGGATGGGTGGTCCATGCCACGGCAGTGGGATGCGGGTCCCCGTGCCGCAGCACCCATGCCACCCTCCTTGTGATGCCGGCACCGGCGCAGCTCCCTGGGTGCAGGAGCCGGTCCCGCGTGTGCTCAGCAGCCCAGCCCGACCAGCCCCGGGAACCTCGGTTCTGGGGGACAGGTCCCGTTTGCCCCTTGCTGGCCACATCCCACACCAGGGAGCACCCATCCCTGGCCACCGTGGCACAACCGGGCCCCCAGCGTCCCCCTTCCCTCACCTGGTCCGTGCCCCAGTGCAGACGCTGGCGGTGCCAGTAATCCCTGCCAGTTTTGCAATTAGCCTTCTCCCCGTTACCCAATTACGCCCAGTTCCTGCTGGTCGCCCATTCAGCAACCTGGGGGGCTGGCACGCCGGGAGCCGGCTCTCCACCGCCAGCCTCCCCGCCTTTTGTCTCCTTTATTCCCAAAGTGACCATTCTGCCTTTTATTTCCCCTTCCGACTCCTTCACAAATATCCGCCGCCTCGCCTGCTTCCCTTCCCCCGGGAGGTTTTGTTGGGCTCTTTTCTTCTCTCCCCGCGTCTCCTCCGCAGCCCCAGCTGTTGGGGAGCCCCCCACGTGGGACAGGGCCACGGGGCTCATCCCTCTGGCCCCAGCACGGTGTCTGCGGTGCAGCCCCGGTGGCCGCCAGCCCCCTCGGGACCCTCCTGGCTTCCCTCCCACCGCACGGGGATGTCTTCTCCCACCGAGGGCATCGGACCCTCTGGCGGCAGTGCTTGGTGCCCTATGGTTGTGATACTGGATCATCGGCCAAGCTCTCTGCCTACCCATCCACCCATCCAGCTCTGCATGCATCCATCCATCCATCTACCTACCTTCCCATCCTTCCATGCATCCATCCATCCACCCACCTTTAAATAAAATATATACTCATGTATTTGCCCTCCAGCCACCACTCCGGGAGGGAAGCGCCATTCCTCTCATTTCCTCGGGGGAAACTGAGGCAGGGAAGGCCCCCCCAGCCCAGACTCGCAGGGGTCCCTGGCAGCGCTGGCTTTCCCGCAGGCTCCTCTCCGACCACACCAGTCGGTTTGCAAAGGAGCTGCCCTCCGCTGTCACCGGACCCCCTTCCTCCCCCCCCATGCCTTCGTTTTGGGGATGGATTTTAGGGTGGTGGCGACACCACCAGCATCCCCAGGAGGGAGGGAAAAACATGACCCAAGGGTCTGGGCTTGGCCACAAAGCCCTGCAACGTCACCTCCAGCGCTGGTGACAATTTGGGCTTGCTCTCGGGGTGGGGGGGGGGGGGCAGGGACCTCTGGAGATCTTCTGGTCCAAGCCCTGCTCAAGCAGGGTCCCCTGGAGCTGCTCGGGGGATGGGGGGGTTGAAGATCTCCAGGGATGGAGATCCCACAGCCCCGCAGCCCGGCCTGGCGCTCGGCCTCCTTCCCAGCGAGAAAAGGCTTTTTGGGGATTGGGCCTCCAGAGGATGCATGGATGGATGGATGGACAGCCAGACTCGGTCACGGAGAAACGAATAGGGGGCTGATAAAAGATGTTGCTCCACAATTCCCTGTTCTTCACCGTTTCCACTGAAAAGCCCCTTACAAAACTCACAGGGGCTTCGCCTCGCCAGCCAAGCCGGGGGCTCCCTTCGGCCTCGGCTTGCCTCTCCGTGCCCAAGGAAACCAGCCCCCCAGCCGATACCACGAAAAAATTAACCTCGCGCAACGGATTGTTCTGCCAAATATTTCATTTTCTACAAAGGAACCCGCAGCTCCCGGCTTCCCAAACGGGGCAGCCCCAGGGCTTCGCCCCCCAGCCCTGCCCTGGCCGGAGCAAAGCCGGTGCCGGAGCCACCCTGCCCGGCACTTGCCGCATCGCTCCAGTCCGCGCCCGTCTCTGCAGTGCAAAGGGCTCTATCGCAACAGAGAAGGAAATCGCGACAGTAACGCCAAGTGACAGCCCACCAAAGGGGCTCAGGGCTGGGGGGACGGAGGAGGAGGAGGAGAGGGTCGGGGAGGGACGGGGCAGAGGAGGGGAGCCCCTGCTACCGGAAAGCACTAATTCAGATAATTAAGATGTTGAGCTGTTATGAACAAGCGGGGGGAGGAGCGGCGGGGGGGGGGGGCTGCGGGGGGGGCGGGGGGGGGGGGGGGGG